CTGCCTGTTTGAGGTAAGGAGTGCATCTCCTGAGGCTGGGCTGTTCACAGCCCTGCTGTGCTGAGGCTCAGCCCTGTGCAGGAGGGAATGCTTCCCTCTGCATCCCTTTCCAGAGTGCTGGCTATTATGTAATTGCACGCTGATTAAATGTTTTTACTCTTCTGAGGATAAACCCTTGCCTTTTGCTGTCAAATTTGATCAGCTGGTTTAAAATCCAGTATCAGTTTGTTTCACACCAAGGACTGATGAGCAATTTGGTTTCACCACTTTCCTCTTAACTTTAAACCCCCATCATTTGTGGACTTCAGAAGTTACAACTTGTGCTTTATGCAGTTAAGTAGTGAGTGCATTTGCAAGAATCAAAGATAAATGAAAAATCCAGCTGGTATGTGGATAATTCTGTCATACCAAAGCAGTAAACATTTCATTTTTTTTTCCTGGCACGGTGCCTCTCACTAGCAGCTCTAATTTATCACAGAAAGCTGCAAGTGATGGCATGTGCTGAACTACTTCTCCAGTGAGCTACCTTTGGGGGCTGGAAGAAGGAAGATGTGATTTTCTATGGCCTTGCTGAAAGGAGCCATCATTCTCTCTTCTCTTGGTCCTGACTTGGGTACCTAGTGCCAGACGTAAGTAAAAAGAGAGTGAGAAAGCAAGGAGCTCAGCCAGGCACAGCCCTGCTTTTGGGGCACTTTCCCTCACTTCACTTTGGCCACTCTGCTCTAAATAAGCTCACAGGGACCTTGCTGTAAAGGCAACAGGATCCTCAAAAGGAGAAGTGCTAAAACCCCACATTCAGTGCCAGTTCAGGGTATTTCAGCCAGCAGATTTTGATTCAGGATGCCAGCCAATGATATAAAATAGACTGAACTCTTCTTTTTGGACTGGCTCCAACTGAGAACTAAAGGACACTTTTTGATAAGGAATATTGCATGTGCCTTCAGAGTGAGCACTACAGTGAACCAACTCCTCTAGGAGTAACTCAGCTCCAAGGAATTACCTCTGGAGCAAGACACTGGCTGAACTACAGGGAGAAAATCCTTATCAGCTGGGTAGCTGGTTCCAGTTTGAGATTGTAATTCTCCAATGAGACTGAAGTGTTGCAGCATTAGAAGGTCCAGACTTTCCAGATTCCGGACTGCAGAAAAGCAGTGGTCTTGAATGGAGAGGTTGCCCATACCCCCATTTCTGGTAGTTTTCAGGTCTTTTTCAAACCTGTTCTCTGAACTGTTGAGTACAAGCAGTGCAGGCCCCTTGGGCAGGTGGTATATAATCCCTTAGCAGTGCTAACTGAAGACTGGCCAGGCAGAGTTGCTCAACATGTGTTCTTTTGAGAAAGATTTTATTGCCCAAATAAATAAAACATTAATCCTGCCTGCTGCATACATAGCAGTAACGTGTTTTTCAGGGATATCCCTTCACCTAACAGGCCTTTTGTATGGAGGAATTACTCTGTGCTCTAGAAATGCAGTGTCTTGCTGCTCCCCTGGCTCCACAGGGCATCCTGAGCGACTGAAGGGTCAGGGGTGAGCTGGGTTGGTTTCCCTGCAGGTATCCAGCATGTTCTCCCCAGGACCTTGCAGGGCTGATTTACACTGACCCTGATTGTTCAAGGGCAAACACATTCAGATGGATTTGAGAATAATTTATTCTGGTTTTTCTACTTCCTTTTTTGATCTGTTGTACATGGAATTAAGTGTACATAAAGCAAACAGGCTCTATTTTTAATTGGGACTCTATTCCTGCCTCAGGTGTTCAGAGTTTCCCCAGCCCCTGGGTACCTGCTGTTTATCTCTGTGATGTGTCAGCCACATCAGCCTGTTGGAGTTTCCTCTGAGGTGTGCAGGGTAACCTGAGTTCCACATTCCCACTGGCACAGGCTTGGTGACAGCTGCAGCCCTGGTGACAGCTTGTGGAAAGAACAGGCAGATCTGAAACTCTATAGCTCTGCTCAGCCCCCAGGATGGCAAACCCCCCTGTCTCAGGCCTCTGCCCATTCCCTGGGTCCCCAGTGATCTTTCTCACCTCAGCAGAGGCTCTGGATGCCAGCAGGATTTTTTTTTTTGCCCACCTTTGGGCCTGTTGGGTCAGTTGTGACCTGGGGCAGTGCTTTGAAGCCACATGGACCATGTGGGTGTGACAAGCTCCCCCCTGCCCTCCTGGTCCCCTCCCAGCTTTTGGGTGGGTGCAGGTTTGTACACAGGCACAAAGAGGAGTGACAGTGATGCGTGTCCTCCCCTGCAGCAGGGCTGGCTCCTTGCTCAGGAGCTCACAAGGAGAAGCTGCTGGCTGTGTGCTGGTGTTGCTGCTGGCTGGGGCACCTCAAGGTGGGGGTGTTGGGATCTCAGCTGCTCAGAGTGACCCCGAGAAAAGTTGGAAAGTCTCTTTTCCCTGCTTGAAGAAAGAGTCAGGGCTCTTCATTTCTTGGTCTCAAGGTTGTTTATTGTATCTTATCTATAAAATTCCTTCTCCTGTCCTGCTGAGGTCCACTCAGCAGGACAGTTCCAGGCACTCTGCCTGCCCCCAGGGTGGTGTTATGTCTTTATACTAAAAACTATGTGTACAATATCTACAATTACTTTCCAATACCTATCACCTATGTTAGACAGTGAGCTTCTACTCTAAACCAATCTAAAAGTGCCACCATCACAGCAGAAGATGGAGGCCAAGAAGAAGAAGGAGAAAGGCTGGACACACCCAGATCCCTCCATCTTGTCCACTTAAATCCCCATTCTAAAACCCTCAAAATCTACTTTTTCACTTGTGATAAATTCACTATCATTCTATTTAATTTGTCATGGCTTGCAGATCTTCATCTAAGGCTGGTAACTTGCTCCAGGGGTCATAATCAAAACCACAGGGGCATTTTTGGGCTCTGTGCCAGGGTCTCTGAGCCTCCTGGCAGGGATCCTGGCTGCTCAGGACAGCCAGAGGGATGTCCTGGGTCCTGACATGGGGGTGGCAGAATTGAGCTGCAGATAAAGCAGCAGGACAGTGTCAAATAATCTGGAGTCTTCTCCCTGATAAGCTCCAGAATCCTGGCAACAGTTCACCCTACCTCTGAACTCTGGAGATACCCTTGGAATGACAGAAAATTCTTCAGGCTTTGTAGGGGGATTAAGTAGGTTAAACAAACATTGTGGGACAGGATTAGAATTGCATCAGCCATGGCAGCCCCTGTGGGCTCAGCTCCTGAGCAGACTCCCTGGGCATCTTCTGCCTGCAGGACTTGTTCTTTGTGCTGCCTGATAGTGCCAAGGATTTATATCAGCCCCAGTTCTGAACAGAAATGGTGCCCAGGTGCTGTGTGCTCCTGCAGGTCAGGGCAGCACCCAGGAAACAGCTGTCCCTGCAAACAGGAGCAGCACAAAGAAAATATTTGATTTAGACACTAAGAGGAACTAAGTAAAACCTTTGATCTCAGGAGGGATTTCGTTTCCTGTTTGTAGAAGAAAACTCTTGGGTCCCAGAAGGGGAGCAGGGGGAATGCTCAGGTCTGAGCAAACCCCTTCAGCATACAGGGGACCCAAGTAGCATTTTGTGTTCTTCTGCGGTTACAATGATCTTCCAGGGAGCAATTTTCATCCCTGACGTGATGACAAGGGAAGATAGTCAGGTCTGAGTCTGTCTGTGCATCCTTCCTTCCTTCTGCCTTTCCACAATCTCTGCTGGGCAATGTGGGCTGTCCTAAGATAAGATGAAAACAGCAGGCAGGTTTTGCAGGAGGAACTCACTGACTGCTTGCATGATTAATATGTTCCAGGGATGGGGGAGCTGAGCTGTTTGTGATTGACTGTGGTGCACATCGACCTGCAAAGGGTATAAAATGCTGCTGGAGTCTGGGCCAGCCATGCAAACTGCTCTCCCAAGGTCACAGGCAGCTTCTGGGTGGTGTTTGCCACCCCTGCCCCTCCTGGGGACACCTGCAGGGCATGTCCAGCAGAATGCAAGGAACACACAGAATACTAGAATACTCACTTTTAGAGGAGTAGTGAAAAACTGTAAGATCTGATCAAATACAGAGATAAAATTCTAAAGCAGCCCCAAAGTTGCCTTATAGCTTTGTAATTGTGAATTCTGCAAGGTCAAAACCTGTAAATCTGCATATTTCTAGCCAAACCTGAATATTATAATCCTTTAGACAAATAATGTGACCAAATCTGAGGTTTGGTCTGAGCCACATTGAGATTTCTCTGAGAAGTTTAGAAAGTGAGTGGGTCTCAGTCTCACTGGAGCTTGTGGCTCAGTGAGAGGGACCATTCCTGTATATACCATATTTTGTAATGCATGGTAGAGTTTTGGTTTGGATACTGCATTTAAAAACTGTGTTAGCCATAAATCTAATCATAATCACCCTGTAATCACTGTCTCCTGCTTCTCACTGGCCAAGAACCTTCCCTTGACCACTCTGTTACTCCTGGGCTGCACAAAACCAGCATTAGGAGATGTCTTGGCCACATGCACAGCCTTGGTCTGCTGGTGCCTCTGTTTAGCAGGTGCTTGTGCCTTGTGGGGCTGGGGGAGAACAGCACCAGCCAATTTTCCCCTGTGACTCTGGGAATTGTCTTCCCTTCACTCCTAGGGCTGAGCACTGGGGCGATGCTGTGCAGGGCAGGATGGAGGGGGGGGACAGGATCTGTGGCTGGTGGGATGGCGTGGGGGACAGGATCTGTGCAGGGCAGGATGCAGGCACTGGGACAGGATCTGTGCCTGGCAGGATGGAGGCACTGGGACAGGATCTCTGCACACCCCGGGCCTGGGGCCATCCTGCAGCGCCCATTCCCTGTGCTGGGCTCGGGGCCAGCCCAGGAATGCCTGTGCAGATAGCAGAGGCCCCCCCAGCTGCCCTGTCCATCTTTAGCCCTGTCTCGGGTTACCGGCCGCCTCCAAAGGCAGGCACGGCCAGCCCGGCCCCCGGGCAGCACAGAGGGGTCCGGGCAGGGCCGGGCCGATGGCATTTCTGAGGAAGGGCTGAAGGACGCTGCCAACCCGCCTGAGCCATGGCCCTGCTGTGCTACAACAAGGGCTGCGGACAGAGGTTTGACCCCGAGCACAACGCTGAAGGTGAGTGAATTCGTGTGCCTGCCACCGGAGGGAATAATGGGAATTATTGTGTGCTGCGTTCCCGGGGTGTGCCCAGCCCGGTACAGGCACCCCAAAAGGCAGGAGCTGCCTCTGGAGCTGCCTCTGGATCTGCTGGCTGTCTCTGGCGGCTCATGGGCAGGATTGCTGCTCCTGAAAGCTCCTGCCCTGTTTTCCCTTTTCAGATTCCTGCCTGTACCACCCTGGTGTCCCCATTTTCCACGATGCTCTGAAGGTGAGTGGGGCAGCAGCTGTGGGGAGTGCCCTTGTCCCCAGCAAGATTGCCCACAGCTGACCAGCCTGTCGTGTCCTGCTGTCTAGGGCTGGTCTTGCTGCAAGAAACGCACAACAGACTTCTCTGAGTTCCTCTCCATAAAGGTGAGTGACCTGCCAGCCCAGGGGCACCCACTGCTCCTCCATCCTTTCCTTCTGGCCCCAGCCCAGTGCTGTCCCACCCTGTCCTGTGTCAGGGATGTCCCTTTCCCCTGCCAGCCAGGGATTTGTGTCTGCTTCCAAGGACCTTCCAAGCAAGGTCAGAGCCCACCTCTGCCACCTCATCACAGAAACTCACAAGGTTTGGGGACAGCCACCAGGTTGAGGAGGACAAAGCAGTCACAGGGCTTGTCTCTGCTGCTCAGGGATGCACAAAGGGGTTCCACAGCAAGGAGAAGCCCCCTGAGCCCTCCAGCCAAGAGAAGAGCTCAGATGAACCAAAGGCCAAGCCAGTGAAGGAGCTCATTGTCCAAGGACCAAAATCAGCTGAGAAGATGCTGCGGGAAAGACCAAGGTGAGAAAGGCTCAGCCAACAGTCCTGCCCTGCTGTGTCACTTCTGTGTGTGCCCTGCCCTGCTGCTCTCTCAGGAGAGGCAGTGACACTTAAATCACAGAAAAACCCACTTGGCCTTTGCTGCTGCTGTTTCCCAGCTCTGATGAGCCAAGACAACTGCTGCCAATTAAAGTATCCAGGTCTCTGGAGCAGGCACTGGAGAAACTGAACGTGTCCTCTGAGGACAGGACACTCGAGAGCTCTTGTACAGGTAAGGACAAGCTGATGGATGGCACTGGGGGTGCACATGGCAAATTCAGCACGGGGCTTTGCATGGCAGGCTCAGGGCAGTCAGTGAGCGCTGCATGTTCAGCTACCTGCAAAACTGCAAAACTGCATTGGAGGCGCATTGGGATGGTCTGTGCTCAGCTGGGGAGCTGGCAGAGGGCTGGGTGAGGATTTGGGGGCAGGCAAGGGCAGTGTATGTGTCCTGGGTGAGGTTGTGTTGGTCTCACAGGTGAGGAGGCTGCCCAGGTGAGAGCTGGCACCACGTGCAAGAACGCAGCCTGCAAGGCGGTGAGTACCTGCAGGGACCCAGCTTCACCCTCCTGTACTTCACCCTCCTGTGCCTTCATGACCCTCCTGTGCCTTCACCCTCCTGTGCCTTTACCCCCCCTGTGCCTTCACCCTCCTGTGCCTTCACCCTCCTGTGCCTTTACCCTCCCGTGCCTTGCTCCAGGAGCATCACAGGCCCAGGTTCAGGGCAGGTATCAGGCAGGTGGAAGGTGGCAGTGCCCACCTGCTCCATATTCTCATCCCACCCTGGCAGCAGCCTCCTCTGTCACCTCCCACCCACTTTCCTGCAAGAGGCTTCCACATTGGTGGTGCATTTGTGTTTCGCTGCTGGCTGATTGCTGCAGTGAAATACAGCACATATTCAGGGTTGGGCACGTAGGCAAAATGCACATGGAGCAATTCCCACCTGCCTTGAACTGATGCAGCTCAGCCCAATTTCGCTCTCGCCCGAGGCTGCCTTGTGGAGCACTGCCTGCCTCAGGATGAGTGGGAGGGTGCAGCTGTGGCAGGGATGGGATGCTTGGAAAGCTGCCGTGAGGGAGTGGGGAGCAAAAGGCAGGAGGCAGATGGGGCCACAAAGCTGGCATGGCCTCTGGAAAGGAGCCCCTGCACCTCTGAGTTTCTGTGGTGCCTAAACGTGCCCACTGTGCTTGTGTTGCCAGGCCCTGGGCTGGGAGCAGGCAGTGTGTGGGAGAAGGGCGCAGAAGGGCTGCTGGCAGGGTGGCAGGGGTGACACTGTGGCCCTGGCAAGGTCAAGGCGGCTGTGCCAGCAGGGAGCAGGGATGGGCGCTGGGCTGCTGGCTGGGCATGGTCCCAGAGGGAATCCTCACAGATGCTGGGCCTGGACAAAGTGTGATGTTGGGCATTGATGAGTGGACACCTGTGCCCCATCACCCTATGCCAGAGACACAGACAGAACTTTCCTTTGCTTCCTTCTCCACAGATCTACCAGGGCCCAGAGAGTAACACAGAGGTTTGTACGTTTCATCCTGGTGTTCCTGTCTTCCACGAGGGGTAAGAGAAAACCTTTTCCCAGAGCAAACTGACCCTGCCACGGCAAGGAGGTGGCCCCAGCAGCACGGGCACTGCCGCTGTGGGTGACACCCTGCAAGGGGACAGGGGCAGCTCGTGGTTGTGAGCCCCTCTGCTTCCTCCCCACCCTGCTGTGGTCCCTCTCCTGCTCCTGACCCCACTCAGGCCACCCTGCTCTCCTCAGGATGAAGTACTGGAGCTGCTGTGGAATCAAAACCACAGATTTCAGTGCCTTCATGGAGCAGCCAGGCTGCAGCCGTGGGCGTCACTGCTGGACAGAAAAGAAGGTGAGGGGCTCTCAGCACAGGCAACTCGTGTGAGCCATTGGCATTATTGGTATTTGAGAGTGCTTCTTCCATGCTCTGTATTCACACAGGTTTCTGCATTTTATTGTCTTAATATCTGTAATTGCTGGCAGATGAGAGCACGGGTTTGAGTGGCCAGTCTTCACCCATGTGCCCTTTGAGGTGCTGCTCTGCCTTCACAAGATGTGTCAGCTCTCACCCCCAATGGGCAGATGTGCAGTATAAATCTGAACAAGGCAGGACCTGGCCCTGGACACAGCATAGCCAGCATTGCAGGCTGCCACACTGAGACAGGTGGCTGAGCACAGGAAAAGTCCAACAAAAAAAAACCCCAAAGGCTTTGGCAGATGATTGCAGATAACTGGATTTGGCTTTAATGGAAATTTTGCTCTGCAGCTGCTTCTCAGGAGGGATCTCATCCACACACCAACATGGTGTTGAGGCAGGCAGTGGGGACCTGATCCCAATTCCCAATACTGTGTCTGTAAGTTTCCCCAGGAAAGTTCTTGACTGGAAACAAGCTTGAGCTGGGATAGTTCTACCAAAGCAGCCCAGGATAACCCCGAAAGTGCACAGTGTTTCTCTGAATCAGCGCTGCTCCCAGCAACCCTCTCTGAGCCCAATCTCCTCTTTGTCCTGGAGCAGAAAACATACCCTGAATGTAAAGGAGGCTGCAGAGAGGGAACTGTGATGCTGTGATTCAGGTGTTTGGTGCTAATTGTCACCTGAGGGCCAGGATCTGGGGCCAGGGCTCCTCATGGAGCATTTCTGTGGCTGGCAGTGTGGAGGGCTGCAGGGGTCTGCCTCCTCGTGCTGGTCAGAAATGAGGTGGTGGGGACACAGGCCTGTCAGTGCCTGTGGTGCTGACACGGTGACAAAGGTGAAACATGGGGGTTTCATCTAGGGTTCATCTGACTCCCAAATCATGATCCATGCCCAGTAACAGCCCTGCACTGCCCTCCAGGCTGAGTTTCCTGGCTGTGCACAGCACTTAGGGGCTTGGGCACAGCAGAGTGGCTCTGGAACTAGGAGAGATGTCTCTGATCTCAGAGTGCCCTGAAGGAACCCCAAGCACAGCACAGATGTCCTATGTTACATGGGATGGAAGCATGGCAGGGACTGCCCACCTTTGTAAAACCCTCAGAAACCTGCCCCAAAGGCAGGGTTTGTTCTTGCTTAGCTGCTGCCAACCCGAGCTACCAGCACAAGGGAGATGTGCAGGGAGCATCCCGAGGCTCAGCCGTGCCCTCTGCTGGGGCGGTGCCTGAGCCGAGCCGTGCCGTGACGGGCTGCTCTCCTCCTGGGCAGGACAAGAAGGCGGTGCTGTGCCGGCAGGACTGGCACCAGACCGGCAGCCAGGTGGTGGTGACAGTGTACGCCAAGAACCCCCTGCCTGCCCTCAGCAGCGTCAAGGCAAACCGCACCGTGGTGAGTGGGGTGGGCTCTGCACACCCACCTGGGTTTGCAGGAGCCGCCTGGGTGCCCTGTGCTCTTTGGTGTCCAGCCAGACACCTGTTTGGCCTGTTGGCACTGCCAACCTGCCATCCCTGAGCTGAGAGCCTGGCAGCCCCACTGATGCATCTGCCCAGCAGCTCTGGCTTTCAGCTTCCTTTGGTGGATTTGCTGGCTTTGGGTCCCTTGACCTGTGGCAGAGGTGAACACACTCTGAAAGGGGTGGAATGTTGCCAGGTGCTGAGGGCATCACCAGAGCATTATACTGGAGCCAGGGTGTGGGTGCAGGATGGTGCTGACAGGCAGCTGCACTGTCTGGGGAAGAGCTCTGGCAGTGCTGTGCTGCCCTCTCAGATAATTTTCTGTTGATCTTTCAGCTCGAGGCTCATGTCATCTTTGAAGGGAATAAGATTTTCCAGGCAGAACTGGAGCTCTGGGGGGTAAGATCCTGTTTGCTTTGATTTCCCTGTTCCAGCAGCCTGCATGGGGCTGGGCTGCAGCTCTGGGAGGCAGCCTGAGCTTTCCATCCTAGGCTGGGTTGCCCAGATACAGGCATTTATGGCCACCTCTGCTGGGAAATGCCTCAGGGGCTGTGAGGAGGCTGAGGTGGCTGCACTGATTGATCCAGAGCTAAGGTCGGAGCTGGAGGTCCCTGCCAGCCCTAAAGGTGTTCTGCGTTTGCTGCCAGGCTGCCCCAAATGCTCTTTGGCCTGGCAGGTCCCTGTCTGCCCCACAATCCTGCTGTGAGTTGCAGGTCTGAGCTATGAGACTGATTTTTCAGCTGCTGGCTGGCTGGGGCGAGCAGCAGTGAGCTCAGGAATTTGCATGTGCGTTTCTGGTCGGTATTTCTGGCGCTGGCTGTGCCTGCAGGCGCGGAGGGCTGACAGGTGTGGGCACGGCTGTGTCTCAGCACAGCTCCTGCTGGGGAGAGGCTGCGAGTGCAGCCGAGGCAAGCTGAGCTCTGCTGAGCTCGGTACGAGCACGGTGGTGCTGCTGAGACGCAGCAATGTGAAACTCAGCTCAGCTCAGTGCAGCTCAGCTTCTCCTGGCACAGGAGGAGATTTCTGCTCTGGCAGGGCTCAGTGGGTGATAGTCTGCGATAGTCTGTGGCACATTGTGTAATTGGTTTGAATCAACTGGTGGGGTGTCACTGGGGCTGCGTACGAAAGATCACACCTGATAATCTTAACAAAATTACAAATACAAAAATTAGAACGGTTTCTACTAGACAAAATAACATCGTTGTAATCAATTTTTACAGCAGCACAAGCAGTTCTCAGGCACACACAACCTTTTCCAGTATAAACGAGCACAGTTTTCTGGTCAGTGAATGGATGAATTTCGAAGCGGCAAATTTGGATGAATTTCGAAGTTCAGTGTTTAGACACACATCCTGGGCATTAACAGTATTGCTTTCATAAATGAATCCCAGCTGTTCTCTAGTAATGCAGGATTCTAAGTTTACTGTTTGCCACCTTTCATTCACCTTTTGTGCCCACACTCTATGTTTTGAAGGGTAGAGCACTGTTCTTTCATGATTTAATCCTAGTGCAATGATGGGTTGGATAATGCAAACAGGGCCACATTAGAAGCAGGATCATAGGTGAAATTTACCATAGTCCATTTACCTGCCCGGCTCACTGTGCCTTTTCCCCTCCCTAGACCATTGATGTGGAGAAGAGCTTTGTGAGCATGGTCCCAGCCAAGGTGGAGATCACGCTCTGCAAAGCCAGCCCAGGCTCCTGGGCCAGGCTGGAGCTCCCCCAGAGCAAGCTGCAGTCCTGTGGTGAGCCAGAGAAGGAAGCTGCAAGCACAGAGGAGCCCGGGGCTGTGCACGATGAGGACTCTGACGACAGCTTGAGCTGGTCCGAGGAGGAGGATGAAGAAGAGTTGGAGATGGGAACACCGGATCTGATAACACCGAGTAACTGATGGTCGAGTGCTTCAGCCATTCCCTGGGTCCTGTGCCTCCCTCCCTTGTCCCAAGTCCCTCTCCAGCCCTGCTGGGCACCTTGGCACCAGCTCCAGCAGAGCAGTCCTGGCCCAGAGCTGTGTGCAGGTGCAGCGTGGCCTCTCCCCGGCTCGGAGGGCACAATTAATAAACACCCAGAGCAAAGGTTGTCCTCTGAAATCCGTGACGGGCGCTTAAGAAACATCAGCAGGCCAAACCCTGCCTTGTGTCACTTCCCCTTCTGTGCCTGCCTGGGGCAGGACAACAGGAGGAGTCACCTTCGGTGTCCCTGGGGGTGTTCAGAGCCCAGCACTCTCCCTGAGCCCGGCATTTCTGGGGGGGGACACAGCCTTCCCTGCGGCTCCTGGGGCGCTGAGCCCCGGGCTGAGCTGAGTTGAGCTCTTGCCGTCTCCCCATCCCGGACCCCGCGGCTTGGTCGGGACACGGTGACCGCGGACACGGGAGCGTCACCGCCGCCGGCAGCCAAAGCGGAGCCGTGGCGTTCGTGCACAGCCCTGAGAGGCGTGAGACCGCCCGGGGCAGCGGCGGGATGCGGAAGGCGCCGCGGGCCGGGCGGAGGCGGGGGATGCCCGCGGGAGCTGCGCGGGGTAACGCGGCACGGGAACGGGAACGGGAACGGGGGCGGCGCACGCCAGGGACCGGAGCGTCCACCCTTGTGAAAAACCCAGCAATCTTCTGCCACAGCGCCACTTAATCGGACAGTATCGTGTAGAGAAAGCAAAAGCAAACACTCACTTTTGCCATTCTTTCCTTTTACTAGCATTATCTTTATTAAGGATATATTGTCCTTATATATGTTACGTATTTGTGGATATGCACGCAGACACGCGTGCTTATTTCTGCGTATCGGTTTTGAAGTCAATCTACTGAGAAATCATCCAAAGTCAGACCAACCATAATATAATATAATATAATATAATATAATATAATATAATATAATATAATATAATATAATATAATATAATATAATATAATATAATATAATATAATATAATATAATATAATCTCTCAAGATATATTCCGATAACGCATAATCACAAAATAACGCATTTAGCATCAGCAGGATCACAGGGGGGCGGATGGCGGGGCTGTATCGGGGCACTCCAGCGCGGCCGTAGCCCGGCCCGGACCCGAGGGGATGCTCCATTCCGTTCCGTTCCGCTTCGTTCCGCTCCGTTCCGTTCCGTTCCGTTCGGCTACGTTCCGCTCTCCGGGCCCGCCGCTCCCCGCGCTCCGCCCGCCCCGGCCGCGCGCGCCCCCTGGCGGCTCCCGGGGCAGCGGCGGCGCGGAGGGCGCGTGCGCGCGGCGGCGGGCGCGGGGCGCGGCCGGGTCGGGGTCCGCGGGGAGCAGCGGGGCCGCGGGGCCGCGCCGGAGGTGAGCGCGGGGCGGCGGCGGCGGCACCGCCGGGGCGCGGGGGCGGGCGGAGAGGAGCGGCGGGGCCCGGAGAGCCCGCGGGAAGGGCGGGGGAGCGGCGGGCCCGGCGGGGGAGCGGCGGGCCCCGCGCGTGGCCGCGTGTGTTCCCGCCCGGCCGTGCCGGAACATCCTCCGTGCCCGGCCGCGCTGACAGCGGGGCGCGGCCCGCGGCCTCCGCCCGGGCGGCCCCGCCGCTCCCGAACCGGGGCACGCTGTGGGCGCACCTGTCCCGGCGGGACGCGGCCGGCTCCGGGGCAGGGCAGGGCAGGGCAGGTAGCCCGGCGGTACCGGGGCTGCTCCGCCGCAGCCGCGTGGCGGGCCGGCTCCTGCGCGCCCCGAGGGCTTCGGCAAGGGATGCGCGCCCGGCTTCGCGCGGGGCGGTGCGGGCGGAGCTGAGTGTGGCGGCCGGGGACCCGGCGGTGCTGGGGAAGGGCTTGGAACGAGCCTTTATCCGCTCCGGGAGTGCGGGGCAGGGCAGGGCAGGTCGCGCTTGCCCCGGTGCCGCGGTGTGCCCGGGCTGGGCTGGGCTGGGCTGTTCGATGCCAGCGCGATGCTAATCCCGATCAGGAGCACCGCGACAAATTTAAGGCGACCTCTGCTCCCAGCGAGCGTCATAAAACGTTGGCACGGGATGAGGCAGCCTTTGGGAAGGTCCCTTGCCTCGCTGCTGGGAGTGAGGATAGGTAAGGATAGGAAGGTTGGATTTGTTCTCCAGCAGCTGGCAGAGTGCTGTCTCAGGAAAAGCAGAGCAAAGTGGTGACCTAAAACACTCAGGGGGTGCCAGGTATGGTCTCATTTAGCAGCTGCCAGGAGCTGCCCTTCATCGCTCAGTGGTTCTCTTCTGCACGCTGGGAACTTTCAGTTTTATCACAACCTGCGCTGAGTTCCTGCTTAACCTCAAACCCCGAGAAGCAATGCTGCTTTTTATTTGTTCTGAACTTCTCTCTGTTTTTTTTCCCTCTGTTCTTTTCTGGTTTTGTTTGGTTTTGGGGGTTTTTTTGGTTTTCTTTTTTTTCAGGAAGCAGTGAGTAATCAGTATCTGTTTATTCTTTATAGATGCTTGCAATTCCCACCATAATTACCCTGAGTTATAAAAAAGCTTTAAATGCTTTAGTTTAAGAGTTTTTATGTGTACCTTATACTTGCAGTGTGTGTCCTGGGCTGGGTGCAGTACTTCTTGAGGCAGCATCGTTTGCTCTTTGCCCCAAGCTCATTTTTTGATTTTTAAAAAGCTCACGTTCTCTTCTGTGTAAGATGTAAAATACATCACTGCAAGGCATACTTTGGAGCCAGTTTGCCGCTGTTCACCAGCACAGCGGTTTTCCTGCGAGGAATTCAAGATTATGAGATACATTTTAGATTATTATTTCCATTTAAAAAAAAACTTTTAAATATTATTCATAGGAGGAACTTTACAGAGATCCTGGAAAAACAACAAAATGTGCGGTTTGCAGTTAGCAGGAGGAAGCTGAACATGTGGTTTGATTTGTTTTGTGATGAGGCTGTGATTCTTCTGGGGTCCAAAGTATTTTCACACAATCTGGTGCCACGTGAAGATTTGTACCTCTGCAGGGAATGTTTTTTTACTTTACATGCCAGTTTGTGTAAATCTGATTAAGTGCTGAGAGGCTCCTTGACTCTGGTAACTTTTGCTCACATTTTAGAATTGCAATGCTTGATGCAAATGAGACTTGGCAATGGTTGCAGTATTGTAGTGCACAAGCCATGATAAAATACATGAGTGCATGCATTAACTCTTGTCTTCGTCATACCAAAACTCTTTGAAAAAATTGGTATTGATTGAGCAAGTGCATTTTTGTTTGTTTTTGTTCGGGGGTTGTGTTTGTTTGTTTTGGTTTCTGTGTTTTGGGTTTTTCTGGTTTTGCTTGATTTTGTTTCAGTTTTGTTTTTGGTTGGGTTTTGTTTGGTTTTATTCTTTGTTTATTCTTGTTTGTGTTTTTATTTGTTATTAAATCTCCCTACCCCTGCCCTCCCCATCTCCCCAGTGAAATTTGGTGGTGGAAGAGGAGGACTCAGAGAAGTGCAATCCAATGGAAAGTGTGGAGGGGCTTTTTTTCCTCACAGAAAGCAGCTTAGATTTTCCTGGTGTAACATTGCCCTTCGTGCACAACAGTGGCTTTGTTACAACTGAGACTGCCAGCAAATGCCAGGTGACAAAAGATGATAGGAAGACACACTAACAGTTTCTTATTTTTCTTTTTCCCCTCAAACAGGAATCCAGAATGCTTAAACTGGATTTATCATTCATCCTGCAACGAGCCTAAAACGCCTCTCCACAGAACTTTATGTCTGAGGTACTGTTTGTTTCTTTTAGCCAATAGTAGTGACTAAAACCTTGTCAGAATCTATGGAAGGTGGGAAGGACATGGTTATTAACTTTTCATGTGCTGACTGTGACCCCCCAGGACCAAATTGCTTGGATCACATGGGAGTGAGTTAGTGAGTGTGGGCACAGCAGCCTGCAGCCCTGGCTCCTGTTCTTACACCTTTGCTCACCAACAAAGGGTCACTTGTGTTCAAATAAACTCTGAAGGATCCCTGTCTTGATTAATCCATGCCTCTGCACGTGGTGTCAGGAGGGAAATCCAGGTTTGATACTCTGCAGCTTTTGATTATGGCAGGATATGTGTCATGTTCATACACTGTGGATCCAGATATCTGCTGGAGTCTTGGCTTTGAGTTCCTGTGGGCTGTGCAACTGCACCTTGTCACAGTCTTATTGCATCAGCTGTGCATCTCCTCCATGAGCTAATGCCCTTTGGAAATATTAATGTTCCATTCAGGATCTTGGATTCATGGGATTGAAGGTGTTTGATGTTTGGTCACTATTATCATTGCTCTGCTATAAAGTTTGGGGTATAAGTGCCTGTAGTAGGATGCTTGTGTAGGTGAGTTGCCCAAATACCTCATGCAGAACACTTCATTTTCACTGTAGTTTCCTAAGAAATATTGCTTTTGTGTGTTTCATCCCTGAAAAAAAAATCTTTAAACCAATAAACCAATTTCAGCCTAATTTGACAGAGGTAGAGATTTAAAAATATTATTTGAAATGTTTTGAGGGGTTTCTTTTATTTCCTAGAAACAACTTTTTGTGTCAAAAGGCATGAAGGGCTTTCTAGCATTGGCACTGAAGGAGCAGCCAGCAAGAATTGCACTCCTGTTGTGTGCTTGGGAGCTGAATTTATAGGCAAAGAGCTTGGAAAGGGAGCAAGCTCCCTCGGTTCTGTTGTTCACATGGAGCCTGGGTGCTGAAATGCACAGTTCCTGCTGTGCTGATGAAATCTGCCTTCCCCTGTGGGTTTTCCCCCCCTTTCACAGCCACCCAGACTGTTGCAGTTTTATTTCTCTTGCAGGTGAATGGTAGGACAGAAAGTGGTGTGAAAACTTTGAGAGGCACTGAGAAGTCCAAGTAGGTCACTCACTGCTGAAGGATATGAGGGATGAGGTCTCCTATTTAACTTTTTCTGCTCTTTCTTGGCGCACGTTCTGAAAGCCTGGCACTTCTCCACCCCTTTGGCACTTGCCTAAAACAATGGCAAGTAAGCTGAGCTGTTGTGGGATAGTAACAGAGTCTTGATTAAATTGCTGAGAGCCCCTTTCTCTTCCCTGCTGGGGCTGGTGGGTAAGCTGCACATGTGAATTAACTCCTTTGCATGGTGTGATATATTTAGAACTGTCCTATCCACCCAGTTCTTTGTTGAAAGTTCCTGCCTGACTTCATGTTTCAGGCAGACAGAGTGAGTTGTCTCTGATCTAGTTTTTGTTACTGAAAGATGAGCAATTAAGTTGTTTCAATTTCTTAATTTCTGCCTGCCCCTGGTAAAGCAGGATCTGGTTCTCCCAAACAGCGAGGGCTTGATGAAAGTGATGGCTGAGCAGAATGACACAGCTCAGTACAGCAGATTTCAGCTGAATTAGAGTTTTCTGCTCAGTTTTGGCCAAAATGGGGCCCTATCTAAACTGTAAAGAGAAGGAAGGAAGAGCAGACAAACTGAGTGAGAGTGAGTTTATCAGAGAGCAATATCAGAGCTAAAATCCACCTCACAAAGAGCATCTGATGTTAGCAAAGGCAGAGGCGTGTCCTGCTAAGAAGTTCTGCAAAAGGGTTTTAAAAGTGTAGGAAGTATAAAAAACATAAATCTAGAAAACTACAGAAGGATACAGGTTCCTGTTTTCTCTCTGTTTTCTGTCACTGTATTCTCCCTTCTCTCAGCAGTCAGGGAACTTCCCTTCAGGAGTGTTAAGGGAAGATCTAGAAGCTGTTTCTCTACCACAAAAAAAAAATCTGATGCAACGTGAAGTTATTGTGTGTCTGTGTTCCAAGCAGTGAATTTCCCCAGCAAATGTTCATCTGGAGAGCAAACTGTCCATGTTAATGATACCAGAAAATGCTTAATTAGGTCAGAACAGGAGCAGCTCTTCAGGTGATGTCTTGACATGTTGAAATCTTGCACATTCCAGAGGAAGTGCCAGGTGTGCAGGCAGTGAAGTCAGACTTTGCAGCATCTTCTGAGGAGGGAGCTAACCCAAACAGGGAATGCCAGTTTTCAAATTCAAAGCCATCGATGGACAAGATAGAAATAAGAATACTCTTATCTAAGTGTTTTTGCACAACACTTCTGAGTGGGATGATTTGGTGTGGGTTTTTTTTTTTCCTTTTTTTTTTTTTTCTGATTGCTTTTTAAAAAAATGATTACTTAATTTGAAAATTATTCCCATTCTGCTGTAACTGTTAGAACCTCAGCTGCAATAAAAGTCCTTTCCCTGCAAGGACTAAGGAACCCAGATTACCTCTCACTACTTTGGATTTTCTGTTCACTTGTTTCTTTAGCTGCATAACCTTTCAACTTGGCTTTGAAGCTTGTGACCAGCTTTCTGTTTCTAAATTGGGGTTTTTTTATCTATTGACGTGTTAATCTGTATTTTTCTTTCTTTCATTTTCTTGTTACTTGTCATATGTGTAGTTTTTCTCTCTAAAATTTCCCCAAAAATTCTTTAGTAGGTCACCAAAAAAATCCCAAACAAACCCTAAACCAATTTTCCTACTCTTAGTAATTTTTGTTGGTAATTTTGTTTTTGGAGTATGGGATTTTTTTTTTTCAATGTATATTTATATTTAGATAGCATGCAGTGCCAGCTTCAAGGGTGCTTAAGAAATAGGGATTTTCCATGCAAATTTGAACCCAGGCTTTTTTTAACTATCTTATGAGAGTTTTATTGTAGCCAAATTGTTTACTAAAAAAATAATTAGAGATTTCATACATTATGAGTTAATGGATTTAATAGAAAAGACCTGATGGAGAGAATATTAGTTTGCTTGGTTGTGACTTAAATTAAAAAACTCTTTGTCTTCCATATATAAATCTTTAACCAAACTACCCTTGCTCACAACATAATTTTCTGGAGTCAAGTAGCTTTATTCTACTCTTTACTTTTTGATTAATTAATCTAAATTTTGTGTTTCAATACAAGGAATGTGTATCCTGGTGTGTGTTTGTTTTTCTGTATTGCAAATGCCACACACGATTCCTTTCAGCTCAGGCAACCTCCTTTAAAGGGGCCCTTCAGAGAATCATACTTAAAAGCCTGCAAGCTCTTTAGCTGTGTTTGTGTAGTTAATGCTTTGCCCAATGCCTTGGCAGGTTTGCCTGGAGTTATTTCCCCTTGCAAATGTTGCTCTTCTAAAATCCGAGTTTTAGTGAGGTAATTCAAGGTATTAGTGCCCTGAAAAGAGCATTCATGTTTCAGGCTTTTTTTTGTTACTTTATTACTGATTTCCAAGTTGAAATCTGTAATAGCCTTAAATAAAACACCAACAAAGTAATCTTTGAGTAACACAGTTTCTTTGGACATCTTGAATCAGATTGTGTTGGCTGCTGCTGGTGGCTTTGGAGTTTTTCCATTTGGGAAGCTGTGCTGTCTGAGGGTGCTGCTGTGATGTCCCTCCAGCCATGGGCAGGCTTTGGGGTGCAGTTTGGGGGTACCCTGTCACTCTGTGCAGAGCTCTGGACACCAGTGCACAGAGATTTAGGAGATGTGAGTCCCTGTTTGGGTTTTCTAGAGAGATCTGTTTACAAGTGTTTGCAATTTGTTTATTTGGGAAACCAGGGGTTGGGCATATAAAAGGCTTTGTGTATCATCTGGTTTTTGTTGCTGGCTTAGCTCTGCCATCTCCGTGATGTCACTTGTTAGTGGCTGGTCAAAATGAATTGTCTGTTGCACAGATAGTTTATTTGGGGAAAAAACCTTTGCTGTGGAAGCAGTGGTGTTGGTCAGCACTCAGGTTTCTGGCACAGCACGTTCTGGTACTTCAGGGGTTTGATGTAAGTGCAGGAATGGGCTTTAAAGCCTGCCCTGTGTGCAGCAGTAGCAGCACAAGGTGCTGGTTCCCTCCCACCGTGTGTGGTTTCCACAGTGTCTGTGCAGGCACACTGATGCTTCCTCAGCGCTGTGTGTTATTGTGACCAGTCAGTGTCACTCCAGTTGCAGCTTTGTGCAGGTAGCCCATTTTCACTTAGTTCAGAAAAATCATGTGCTCCCAGTGAGAAGGTGGATGCAGGTAAAAACTTTGTCTAAAAAGACAAAGCTGAGGCTTAAATGGGAATGAATTGTTGATTTGTTTGGATGGTCCTGAAGTTCTGCATTCCCTTTGCCACTCTTGTGTTGGAGCTGAGATCTTTCTGGAATATGCAATCAAAATAGTTTAGGTTGGAAGGAACCTTTGAAAGTCATCTGGGTCAACCACTCTGCAGTGAGCAGGGACACCTTCAGTGAGATCAGCTTGCCCAGGGCCCCATCCAGCCTGGCCTTTCCAGGGATGGGGCAGCCACAGCTTCTCTGGGCAACCTGTGCCAGTGTTTCATCACCTTCTCTGTAAATAACTTCTGCCTTATATCTAATCTAAATCAATCTTTTCCTAGTTTAAAGCCACTGCCCCGTGTTCTATCATAACAGGCCCTGCTAAAAAGTTCTTCCCACTATTCTCTTCTGTTTGAAGCAGGGTATTTTCTGCTGGTTGCAAGCTGAGGATTACTGATAGTACCTCAAAGGCATTTGGGTGAGAAGGCAGATGCAAGTTCCTTCTTGTTCAGGCTAGCAGTGGAAGCTCCAGCACACAAGAAATGTACAACAAATGACTGCTTGTAGTTAGTTCCTTGCTATTTTCAAAATTCTTGCTGTTCATGTGATGAAAGTTTAAAATTAATTGTGTTTTAGTCTGTATTAGTTTGATTGTCAAACCTACCTTTCACATATCAGGAAAGGGAAATGGAAAACCTCAAAGTGTCAAGTATCTCCTGAGTAACAATTCCCCAGGAAAGCTGTTTGACTGCTGATCTTTTAGGACATGGATTTTTCTCATGCTCATTATTTAGAGGACATCAAATAACTCAAGCCTATTAAATCCTGCTTGTTCTGTCAGTGATTAGTGAGTGTAATCTGTTCTTGGCTTCTTTAGAAAAATTCTTTATGGATTCTAATCTGGGTTACTGTGGCTAGTTAGATTTCAAGGAATAGCTTTTCTTGAGGGTGCTGCTTTCTGAACCTTTTATCTGGTGTCCTGTAAATAATGTAGTTTATTCAGGACTGATTGATCTGAGTGTAGTGAATTATTATTGTAAACAGTAGCAGTGCAGCCCAGAAATTAATATCTTGATTTTATTTATAACTTTTGGACCTTTCTTTGTGGTAAACTGTTTAGATAGCAGACTGTGTAGGCAAGTGTGAGTGTTGGTGTGTGTGTGTTTGTATAGAGGTGGATGTGTGAACCTACAAACGACAGAGTATCTTGTTACTGGGTCAGAATCCCTTTCCACTTGCAGGTGCCTCTGAGGACTTGTCCTTTTGCCTGTGGGAAACAGTCTGGCAGTAAGACAAGACTGTGGGAATTTGGCTAATTTGTACTTACATGGTTGGAATGCAGCCAATTGTCACTTAGCTCTCCACTCATTGCATCTCCATTTCACTATTGTCTTTGTAGCCCCGAGCTCTTCAGAGTGGCTTGAGACACTGAATGTGATAAGAAAATCCTCAGCTATATTAAAAACACTTGCTAAAGCTTATCTTTACAGTGCCCACCACTGAGTGTGCTTTGCCTAACTCCCCTCTTCTTGCTTTGGGCAGGACTCTGTTTCTGGGTGAAGGATGCAGACTATAAAGTGCGTGGTGGTCGGAGATGGCGCGGTGGGAAAAACTTGTCTGCTCATCAGCTACACCACCAACGCCTTCCCAGAGGAGTACATCCCCACTGTGTTTGACAACTACAGTGCCCAGATGACCGTGGACGGCCGGACAGTCAGCCTGAACCTCTGGGACACTGCGGGCCAGGAGGAGTACGACCGCCTGCGCACGCTCTCCTACCCCCAGACCAACGTCTTCATCATCTGCTTCTCCATCGGCAGCCCCTCGTCCTACGCCAACGTCAGGCACAAATGGCACCCTGAGGTTTCTCACCACTGCCCCAACGTCCCCATCCTCCTGGTGGGCACCAAGAGAGACTTGAGGAGTGACCTGGAAACGGTTAAAAAGTTGAAAGAGCAGAGCTTGGCTCCCACCACCCCGCAGCAGGGGACTTCTCTGGCCAAACAAATTGGAGCAGTCAAATATTTGGAGTGCTCGGCGTTGAATCAGGAGGGTGTTCGGGAGGTGTTTGCTGAAGCTGTCCGTGCAGTTCTGTATCCTGTGACAAAGAAGAACACGAGGAAATGTGTCCTCTTGTAGTTGCCTTGGGTGATGGATGTTGGGAGTTGACTAGAATCTTGGAGGGCTTTTTAACGAGTTAAATTGAAGATTTGCATCTTGCACTAACAGTTCTAAGCAGAAATGGTTTATACAATGAATATTCTTGCAGTCTTACTGCTTCAGGGAAACTGAAACGGAACAGGTTTTTTTTTTTTTCCAACTGAGAGGTCAAATACCTACTCTTATTTCTAAAGTTCCAGTCTCCAGCTTCTCCAGGGATCACTTGATTATTTTAGTGGAGGAAAATAAAAGAGGAGACCTCTTTGAAGCCACTTCTTTACTAGATAGCCATCAGTTACTAGATTTGCAGAAAAGCACAAATCCTGATAACTTTGCTTAAAGTGTAGCTGCTGCTTTTCCCATCCTTTATTCACTGATTGAATTTGTTATACAAACAGAAGTCTGGCTGTCCAGTTGTTTTGTCAATTTAAAGCTTGAAAACAATTTGTTTACTTGCGAAAATGCCTGAACTGAGATTCACCTTGTAGTGAACTGTGATTGATTGTATGAAGAGTTAGCATTAGGCATGGTTAATGCAATGAGCAAGACCAAGGGAATACCTGCAATGATTTATTAATAGAAGCAGGAGCTGATTTCTCCTTATGTAAGGAACTTAGAATAATGATGACTCATTCAAATGAGTGATTTTCATAGTTTTGAGGTGGAGAAGTGGAAGAGTAGTTTAGATTCAAATCTTCCGTAATCTTCTAAACTGAGATTTTATTTCACTGTCCAAAGAGACTTTGCACCCTGAGAATAAAGTTCTAACAATTACCTTCTCAGGCTGACTGAGGTATTTGGGATAACACTTCTCAAAATGAGATTTTCAGTGTAATCCCTTTGATGAATCCCAGAGACTTGACAGCAGCCTGTTTGCTTTTGAGGAATGAATTGCTTCAATTCCTAACATTCTCGGGGCCACCATCTCAGATTTTTATGGCAAATTCCTTAGTTGTTTTTCTGTGAGAAGGCTGACAGAAAATTTAGAGGTTCTGTTTACAGGAACCCCTGCTTCTTCCTATTTTCAGTTCAGTCTGTAATGGTTAGCCAGTCGCTGGATAGGATTACCTGGGTGGGTTTTTTCCTCTCCTGGATGCTCAGTTCTTATAAACTCTTTTTAACTGAACTTCTATTTACATACTTTTTAACCTTCTATAGCAGCTCTAGTAAGTGGCAGCTGGCTTTTATTTTCAGGATGTGCACTGTTCTTTATGTGTGGTTCCGGGACCAGCTGAGGAGTGAGCGCAGAGCCCTTCCTTAGACTCAACCTTCCAGCTCCGTGGTATGAAAGCAGCATGCTTCAAAGATACTTTGTGTGAAACCACTGGTGCTGGACTGGGCTTTGTTGTCTGAAGTTGACAGTGCTGTCTTTGTCTGGCTGCAGCCTCAATTGGTCATTCAGAACTTGCTTTTTCCTTGTGATTCCCACACATGCGAAACTGCACTGGTGTATACCCTGGTCAGGAAAAAAAAAAAAAGTGCCTCATTTTAGCAGGATAACAGAAAATACATCAACGAGGTTATTAGGGATCTCGTGTTAATTTGACCTTGCTTTATCTGATGCTGGCAAAAATACCAGGTGGATAGAAATGTTGGTATTTGTGCCTTAATTCCACTATTTGGATAGAAATGTTGGTATTTGGGCTCTAATTCCACTATTTGGATAGAAATGTTGGTATTTGTGCCCTAATTCCACTATTTGAAGAGGATGTGCCTTTCTTCAGCTGGTGTAACTGATGCTGATGCTAACTGCAGTTTTTTTAATCTGACACATGCTCATTTCGGTGCTGCTTTAGCCAATTGCAACCCACAGATTACAAACTGCAGTTAATCCAAATACTGGTGCCTGTGGTCAGTGAACCAACACAGAGTTCCAAACTGAGCACAGGCAGTACCAAAACACCCTTTCTGCAGGATGTTTGCAGAAGCCTACACACTCTGCACATTTTTCTTCACCAAGTGCCATTGCCTGGAGTGCTTTGTGTCCCTTGCACTTGCAGAGGAAGTGCTGTTCCAGATGTGGTTCCTGCCCTGAAGGCTGTGAGGGTGTAGAGAATTCACTGAGATAACCTCTACTCACCACCTTCTGCCTTTGCTTTAGCTGTAGGCCTGTAGTGTGGGCTGGGCTTGCAGGCAGCAATTAACTCTGTGCCTTGTAATTCAAGATTATTTTCTGTAGGTAAATTTCAGTAACTGAGTAAATAGACTTTATCATGTTTAAAATGTATTTATTTAAGCCAGTGCACGTGGTTTGTTTTAATGCTGGTCAGACCTAAATCAACTGTCTAGTGACCCCGGTGCAAGCCCATAACCTTTGCTTTATTCAGAAATGTACTTTTAAAAGTCTGTGATACGTTTGAACTAGTCTTAAGAGGTACCTGAAATTAAAAGTCTACCTTTTTTTTTTTTTTTTGGCTACATATATTTGCAGTTTTGTACTGAAGCTACTACTGTTTTTAAAATTTTTTACTTTTTTTACATACTGAAATCTTTTAATCCTGTGCCTTTTTGTGGTTATTCCTAACTGAATTACATGCATTTTGTGGAGATGAAATCTTGTGAGCAAGTATTATTGCACAACCCCTCCATTTCTGTAGGCTCAAGCAGCCATCCTGGAGTGAACTGGAAGAGAGTGTAGCGAGATAAAATTCAACTACTTAATCAATTTATTTGATTTGGTTACACTGTTGATTACATTATGCCAGAACACCTTATCCCCACTTAGATTACTTAGCAAATGGATTGCACAACAGTGCTGAGGAGAATAACATGATAGTGATAAAAATGAGCAGAAGGAACTTTAAACCATCAAAGACTTTTTACTCACTTCAGAGAACCTGGTTATTTAAATGCTTTGTATTTCTGTCACCCTCTGATGGGAATAAAAGTCCTGGCTAGCAGCTGGTTTCCTCCAGCCTCTGCTTTCCATGAGGGTGAGGTTCAGGACAAATCCAGAGAGCTTTTCCTTTCAGTGGACATTTTCCTTTCTTGATCCTCCTTCCTCTTTTTCCTCCCCCTGGGAATTCTTGGTCCTTTTTTAATAAGTAATCCAGTGCTTCAGTTTACAATCAGTTCTGTTTCTTCCATGCTTTATTTTTCTTCTGTGAGCAGTTGAAAAATACAGACTTCACATAATCCCATGGCTGGATTTTGTCTTGTTTTGGGAGGTCAGAAAACTCAGTGTCGGTTTCCTGATCGGTTCAAGGTCCTTTGGTTTGTTTCTGAATAGAGATGCAATGTGTATGTCTTAAATCACAGAAGAGACTCACTGTGAAGACACGGATTTTAACCTTTGCTTTGTAAATGATTTCTGAACTACTTGGGTTTTTTTTTTTTAAATACAGCTGAAGCTGAGCAGTTCAGGAATTGTGTGTCCAAAGGATATCCATGAGCTGTGCTTAGATTCGGAAGTGCTTTCTTCAGTTTACAGCTGTAGCTATTTCTATGAAATTTAAAGCAGAAGAACCTCCCTGTGCTTTGTCTCCGGGTGCTAAACCTCATTCTGTAGAACCCTTGGTGCTGCTTGGGCTGACCCAAGAAGTGGATGGAGCTCAGAGGGGTCCCAACCCCAGAGTGGGCAGCAAGGACCACCCATCAGCATGGGAGCCCAAGACTCTGAAGCGTGGTACCGATACATACACTGGCAACTTGATTTTATGCTATAAAATAATTTGTATTACATCTAACAGTTTTAAAGGATTTTTTTTTCCTCCTTTTTTTATTTTATAAATTATGCATAATGACATTGTAATAAACCTTTCCTCACCTCTCTGGCTGTCGCATTAACTCACCCTGCTGTTTGTACCGCCCCTGTGCTGAAGGCAGCTCTTTCCTGTGGAAAGCCAGGCCCGGTTCTTTGAGGCAATAAAAGGAATTTTTGGCAAAGCCGGAGCGTCTGCGCTTCCTTGTGCGCCGCGGGGCGGGGCCGCGCGGGGGCGCTGTGGGCGGGCGCCGCTCCCGGGGCCGCTCCCGCCGCCGCTTCCGCTCGCTCTCGGTGGCGCGGCAGCGATGTCGGACTCGGAGAGCGAGGAGGAGGCGGACGGCGGCCGCGCCGAGCCCTTCTCCCTGGCCGGCTTCCTCTTCGGCAACATCAATGAGGCGGGGCAGCTGGAAGGGGACAGCGTCCTCGACAAGGTAGGGCCGTGTCGCTCCGGGAGGGCACGGCGGGCGGAGGGATGGGTGAGCCGGGGTGCTGGGAGCGACCTGTGGGCTATCCCGGGGTGAAGGCAGGGTGACCCGGTTTGTGCCGGGATATACCGGGATATGCCGGGCTCTGCTGCGGTGAACCGGGATGTACGGAGGTGCTCGGGGTGTCCCAGCATAACCCAGGATGTATGGAGGTGCTCGGGGTGTCCTGTGGTCAGCCGGGGTGTCCCAGGATAACCCGGGGTGTATGGAGGTGCTCGGGGTGTCCCAGGATAACCCGGGGTGTATGGAGGTGCTCGGGGTGTCCCAGGATAACCCGGGATGTATGGAGGTGCTCGGGGTGTCCTGTGGTCAGCCGGGGTGTCCCAGGATAACCCGGGGTGTATGGAGGTGCTCGGGGTGTCCCAGGATAACCCGGGGTGTCCCGGGGGATGCTCGGGGCGGGCTTTGGGGCAGGACCCCGCAGGCTCCCGCGGGGCTCGGCCCGGCCCGGCGCTCGGAGCCTCCCGGCTCTGGTCTCCCCAGGAATCCAAGAAGCACCTGGCCGGGCTGGGCGTGCTGGGGCTGGGCAACCTCATCACCGAGATCACCGCCAGTGAGGAGGAGAGCGCCGAGAGCGAGGGAGCGCACCTGGACGAGGAAGGTTTGGCGCTGGGGGGCTGCGCTTGGGGAGCGGAGGGGCTGCAGGGGCAGAGCTCTTGCCGGAGAGAGCAAAATGCACCCGGGTCTGCAGGGAATATCGTGGTGGTCTCTGGCCAGAGCCTCTCTGTCAAAGGCCTTCTCTTCTCCACCTTGCCAAACAGAATCCCACAGTAGCTCCTGATCAATTGTGCACCTGTTCCCTTTAATTTTTTATGAGTATTTTTTCTTTTACTTGTCTTTCCTCCTTCATAAATGAGTTTAGTCTGTGTTTGTATTAAAGAAGCCTACTTAGCACACAGTATAATATCTCTTTCTGAACTTGCTGAACAGTTTTCATGAGTAAGTGATAAGTGCTTCTTGTGCTAAATTTGATTGCTTACCAATCTCTTAGGAGAAATTCAGAGCCATGAGAGCTTTTGATTAGAATGAGGGGAACAGTACTCTGTGGGAGATGCTTATCAGATAGTTTTGTTTTTTTAAATAAAGGAAGCATAGCAAAGCAAGCATTCATAAGTACCTAGTGGAGTCTGATGTAACTAGTATAAATTAGGATAAAGTTTTGTGTTTCTCCTAGGCTGGGTTAAGAGCACAGAGGATGCTGTTGATTACTCAGACATCACTGAAGTGGCAGAGGATGAGAGCCGTCGGTACAAGCAGGCGATGGGCAGCCTGCAGCCAGCTCGAAGGCCAGGTAAAGGGGCCCAGCACTGCAGCTCTGCCTGCAGGAGCCCTTCTGGGGCATTGTGCTTTCTCACTCCTTGCTTCACAAGCCCAGTAACTGCTTTTGTGAAACTCTCTTCACTGGATGAAGCCATTGCTTGCTGTCTTCCTCTTTAAGGGAATCAGTTCCTTATTGGAGTCACTTCAATCTTAGTATCTCCTGTTTTACTCTTGATTTTTTTTAAGACTCTGCAGAAGGTACCTTGGTTCTTTTGTTGTTCCCAGGTATCTCTGTCTGTATTCTGGCCCAGAATATGCTTTCAAAACCAAGCAGCTTTTCCATTTCAGTAGCTGCTGGTGTAAATGCTACATCCTGGCATATTCTTTAAAGATGTCTTACACTTAATCTTTCTGCTGACTTTCTGTGATTGGTGAGATATGAAGATGATTTGGACTTTTTAAGCCACATTTTCTTTATTTCTTCTACAAAGAGTGAATAAAAGGATGTGATAGCAGAATATATAAACATGTAGGCAAATTGTGAGTAAAAGGAGGTCATAGCAGAATATATATATACACATAGATTTTAAGTGCTTCAGTCATCTTTCTGTCAGCTTCTCTTTGTCCTTCCTTCCTGGTATTTTTTAAATTTACATCTTGCAAGTGAGTTTGTGCAGGAAGCTGAACTGGTAAGAGTTTTCTTCTAGTTACAAGATAAGAATGGTGTCTATGCCATCAGGTTTGAGACAGAATAAATGGAAAGGGTGCCTGGTTTTGTTTTATTATCTGCTTAACACTTGGTCTTGTCTCCTGCATGGTTAGATGAAGATGAGGATGATTATGATGCTGACTGTGAGGACATTGATTCCAAGCTGATGCCACCACCACCACCCCCTCCAGTACCTGGAAAAAAAGAAGATGAAAAGGATGCAGCTGCCACTGGTGAGTGAGGACTTTCTTCTTCTCTCTGGCAATGTGAGTTTCTGAAGAAAGTGAGAGCTTCTGTGTAGCAGAACTGCGGCACCATGTGTCACCCAAACTCGATCTGCAGGCTGCATCTGAAGGTGAGTATTTGTGGTGTTACAGGGTTGCCTGAAGCCTAGGGGGAAGCATTTTATTTCCAGTGACTGTTGCAATACCTGTATTGACAATGAAACTGTTTTTTTATCTCATCCTCTCAGTTGTGGCTGGGGAATTCACCTGGAACGCATAGGATAAAATGAAAGGTTAAACCAGAATGGTACTTAAACTGCCTGCACAGGCTTAATTTTTGCATAACTTCATACAAACAGTAAATGTGGCACTATGGGGTTATGCTAGGGGAGAGGGAGGGGATCTGTTTGTTTATGAGGTGCTTGTTCTGTTATAGTATCTGAAGATGGAGACGGTATCATTTTGCCCTCCATCATTGCTCCTTCCTCTGCTGCCTCTGACAAGGTGGATTTCAGCAGCAGCTCTGATTCTGAGTCAGAGATGGGACCTCAAGAAGCCAGGCAGGCAGAATCCAAGGAAGGCAAACTCACACTTCCTCTTGCAGGAATCATGCAGCGAGATGCTTCCAAACAGTTGCCAAGTGTTACAGAGCTCTTCCCAGAATTTCGACCAGGCAAGGTATTGTAAGAGTTTTGTGGAGGAGATGTGTGTCATGTAAACCCTCTAAATATGCATTGTACGGTGTTTAGGAGTATCTATTCAGTAATCACATAGATGTTCTTGCTCACTCAATACTTTCTTTAGTTTCTGTGTGCTGCTGTTTCCAGATTGATTTTATCTAATAATTTTCCTGCCATTTGCAGGAATCTCTTAAAAAGCATCCTATAAATCAGGGTGTGAATGTTTTGCTGACCATAGCAAAGGCCTGTTGATTTGATACTTTTGCCAGATGATTAAAAACCGTGCTAATCTGTCTGCTTCCTGGCTTTTCTGGTAAATACTTGCTCCTCCTTTTGTGCTGTCCTG